CCTATACCCCATGTGACTCAGTGGGACTTAACTTCAGAGTAAAAACTATTTAATCAGCTAGTAAAAGTAAGTTCAGTTGTTATCCATAATGTGATAAACTGTGCGGAAGAAGATACTATTTCTGTACAAACCACTTTTAACTTATGGAGATACACATGTTTCTTTGTTTGCATAAGATACAAAGAAGAGGCAGGTTTGCATAGGATTTCCACACATAACTTATTTTCAGTACTGCGCACAATCATATATTTAGTAGTATCTCTCTGCTATTCTGGAACGAACAATTAACCAAGTAATTTTATGTAACTATACTGGAAGCGCAGGATAAAGGGCAAGAAGTGTTGTTAGAAAGCACTGTTATATTTATACATACTTCATGTCACTAAGCTAAACAGAGAGTCAACATTTTGCAGATTCACTTTCAGGTACTCTGTTCACTTGCAACCAAGTGCAAAGAGAGTTGAGTTTTTGAATGCCTTCCAAATGCTTTGCTTCCTTCTGTCCTGCAGAAGCTGCAATATTCTTCTTATACTTTGGTATAGTGCTTTCAAGTGCTCAAAGCACTTTACATGCCTCATCTGATTTTGATCCTTACAAACCTGTGGCTCTGCAGATCCAGGATGGAAGGAGTTCTCCATCACCACTGCTTTACAACAGAGTTATTGCCCCCCCCCCGTATTGCAGCTGACAAGAGGCCAAGTGCAATGGTGGAGGAAGCCTCTCGGGCGCCTGGGGTGGCATGCCCAGGGGCGGGGCGAGCTGCCCATAGGGGCAGGGCACACCGCAGGGCCTCTGGAGTCTGCCTGCCTCCTCCCACTCAGCCGCCCTACATCTAGGGGGGAGGCAGTGGGTGGACCGTTTGGGCAGCGTGGAGCCTGCACACACCACAGCCACCACGCCTCTCCCAACGCTCGGGCAGGCCCCACGGTGACTGCCATCCGGCATTTTGTCACATACACCCACAGTGGTAACACCTGAGGCAGTCTGCACCCACCACACCCCCTTCCTCCGCCCCTGGCTAAGTGAGTGGCTTGACTAAGGCCACCTAGGGAACTCATGGCAACATTCAATCTGAGGATTTCCCAATTCAAGACTTTGATCCACTACACCACGCCTATAGAAACAGAGGGGGCGGACTGCAAAGGAGAAAACCAGAACAGTGGCCTGCAATACAATTTTAGAGATAAATTCTGAGTTGTGGGAGGGGGGACACATGCAGTGGATTACCCACCCTATTCGCAGTGCTGCTGATTCCTACCAAGCAGCTGGAAACTAGTGGGACAATTTTCCCATCTGTTTTGCTCCTTTTCTGAACTCCTCTTCAGTCTGCATTTTGCCTACCTTGTCCTAAAGAGCATCCTTGTTAACCCATTACCCAAGAAGTCTGATTCCCAAATATGCAACTTTATTAATGCAGAGCCTTGGGGCAATACTAACTTCGAAAAACTGACGTGCGATATGCCTACTGACACAATTAAAATACATGGCTTCCCCCCAAAAATCCTGGGAACCATAGTTTGCCCCCTCACAGAGCTGCAATTTCAGCGCCCTTAAACTATGGTTCCTAGGAGCGCTCTTTTTCTAGAAAAAGAAGTGCTGGAATTTACCATGAACCCCTCTCTTGTTCTCTTATAATGGCAATGATGCCATGGGAGTGGGGGGGAGGGGCAGCTGCCCCCCCCAATAAATAAAAATCAATAAAAATACATAGCTAACTGAGGTTCTGCCTCCCCCCCCCCAACAAAAGGCTTGCCTCCCCTAACAAAAATCCTGGCTATGCCCACAAATGGTGCCCACCTCAGAGGTGCCGAAACCAAGTTCCGGCACGTTCTGACTAAAAGAAAGCCTTGGCTAGGAGTCTTTGAGGGAAGTGATGTGTTTTAAAGGCATGTTATGTACACAGCCCTGGAGTTTCACAACTGATTTCCCAAAGGTGATAACTTCTACATTAGACACACACACCCCACCTAGGATTTCCTCCCACAACAGACTTCTTCCCTGTGGCCTCAGAAATGAAAAGAACATTTACCCAATGGCGGGCTACTCTGCATTTACCCAACAGTGAAAGGGAAATAGGATTTATTTCAATAAAACTTAAGGAAAGTTGAGAAAGACGAGGAAGAGTGAGAAATTTGTGTGTGTGTGTGCTCCAGTTGCATGAGCCACTAAAATGAAAGACAACATTCTGAACAAGGCAACTGCATTGGGATCTTGTCCTACACCTGATTTTTTAATGTGTATGAGGTGAGCCTCAGGCAGAGCTGCCATGCATCTGTGAGACAGGAAGAAAGGGACAGGGAATTGAGTACCAGGCAATGAAAACAGCATTTTTAACTGTGTTTTTTTTTCCTTCCTCAAAGCTGCAGAGCGACAGAGGAATCATGGGAAGTATGGAGCAGGTTACAAAAGAGCATTTTAAGTGCTTTCCACCTTAACTCCCTTTACACACACACACACACACACACACACAAAGGGAAGAGAAACAGAGAAAGGGATGATCAATAAAATGTTCACAATACTCTTCCCATATCTGGCTTTAACAGAATATTTCATTGTCATGGTTTTCTTTCCTCCTTGTGTATATTGCATAAAATGCAAACATCATACTTTAAGGCTATAATCCTATCCACACATCCCTAACAGTAAACCCCCGTTGAACACAGTATGGCTTATTTCTGAGTAACCGTGCACAAGATTAGGCTGTAAAATGCATCTAGGGCCGCAATTCTATTCCCATTTACCTTGGAATAAGCCCCTTGAACTGAATGGGCATACATCTATGCAGTTGTGCATAGGACACACAGTAATTTATTAGGTACTGCTTATGACATTTAACTCTGTGCCAACCAGTGAGCCGATTCCGGGTCATCATAATCAGTTTTGTCAAAGAGGGGATTTGGAAAGCAGGTTCAGCTTTCACAACATGGCACCACATGCCTGGTGAAATTGTGGTTTTGGCTGGAATTAAAACCAAAGCCCTAAGGACAGAAGTACTTTGTGGAGCTGGCTAAGAACTAGAAACCAATCCTAGAAGGTAGGAAAGTTGGGGCCAGCAACCCAAGAAATAACATGGCTGAAAAAGAGTGCAGCATAGGGTTGCTGGGTAAAAGAAAAAGAAGAACAGGGTTTCTGCATCTTTAATAGCTGTGCTGAAACTCTGCTGAAACACAGCTGTTAAAGGTGCAGAAGTCCCATCCATTTGTTGCTATTATTATTATTACCTTTCCTTGAATGAGCTTAAGGTGGTGAACACGATTCTCTGTTTCTCCATTTAATCCTCACAGCAACTCCGTGAGGGAGGCTAGGCTGAGAGTGTCTGGCCCAGGGTCATGCAATGAGCTTCATTGCTGAGTGGAGATTTCAATCCTGGCCTGTCTGGTTCTAGTCTGACACTCTAACCACTACACTGACTGCTACCATAGCTGAAGCATAAAGGCCCAGTAATTGTGATGGGGTTAATAGAGTCAGGTTCCCAATCCCTGCTCAGGTATGAAGCTCATTGAACCCAACCTACCTCACGGAGTTGTTGTCAGGATAAAAGGAAGAACCTATTGTGAGTGTATGCCACTTTGACCTCCTTGGAGGAAAAAGGCAGGATAGAGATGTGATAAAGGTGCATTGAGGAGGAGGAGGAGGGTTGAATTTCACTTATTGATTTTGAACTAACCAACCAGATGTGGCAGCACAGAGCTATTGGAGCTTGTTTAAACAAAATAGGCTAGCTAGGAATATTGTGTTCAACAGTGGCATGTGGCCTTGCATGCATGCTTATTACCACATGAGACAATGTAAGCTCTGAAGTGGAGAAATCCCTAGTCCTGCAAACCTTCCACCTCAAAACGGGGGAGATTATGGGTAGCATTCCCTCTAATAACGAACTCAGGAATTGAGTGTCAAGAGGCCTCATTTTGGGTTATCAGCATGCTCAGAGCAAGCCTGAAGTTTGCACTGGTGAGAGAATGTTTTTAATGTTTTTAATGTTTGGTGTATTACTACGTTTTGATTTGCTGAAAGCCACTCAGAGGGGCTGGGCAACTCACTCAGATGGGCGGCATATAAATTATTATTATTATTTAAACTGAGGGGGAACCACACACACACCCCAAAAAACAATCCTGCCCAATGAAGACTGAGTACCCACAGAATGTTGTGTGCTGTCAGTGGGAGACAAAACCAAAATATGGTGCATTGATGGTTAACTGGGACCCTGAAGTCCTCCTGTTCCATTGTGATTGGAAGCCCCCCCCCTCCCAGCATCGGTTATAGATGCAAACTCTGTCACATCCATAGTGGACCCCCTACCTGTATGGAATCTCTAATTGCCACCAGAAGTCCTCAGAGTTTGTCTTCCAGTGTTGTAATCATGTGATCAACAAGGAAGAAATGTCTCAAGCCACGCCTCTTTGTTGACTATCTGGAGCCACTGGGAGGGGAAGCCTGTTTCTTTGGAGTGCTCCCAGCGCCCACCCAGCAGGAGTTGTGTGTGTGTGTGGTTTGTCATTGTGGGATGAAAGAAAAACTCTGCATGCTGCAGGATGTCCACTTTGTTTTTTTCTTTTTCATTTTAAAGAGTCTGTCCTGAGTTTAAAAATCATTTCAGTATTAACTGGGCAAGTAAAACAAGAGCAGAATAGCAACTGGGGAGTTACCCTTTGTGGGGGCAAGGAAGCGAAGTTGCCCCCTCCTCAAATCAAGAGCCCATCCATACGAAGCTCTTTCAGGGGGTCGCACGTGGTGGGCGTGCAGGTTTGCCCATCAGGCAAGGCGGGCACGTGACACACACAAGCACAGATCTCCAGAAGCCATTGCTCTCTCTCTCCCGCTCCCTCTGTCACATCCTCTGCTTTGGCACCGCTCGCCCTCGGCACGCGGAGGAATCTGGCTGCGCGCTGTCCTCGTCTGGTCCCGGCCAGGAAGGGCAGTGCGAGGCGGGCGGCGCTGCGCTGCGCTGCGCTGCGCTCGCTCTGCCGGGAGGCGCCAGCGGCACGAATGAAACTTACCTGCCGGGTCGAGTTGCTCCTTGGCCCTCGGGCGGGTCAGCTTAGCGGCGGTTGCCGAGCATCTCCACGCCTCCTCCCGCCCCCAGCGCGCCACTTTCTCGTCTCCCTCCTCCTCCTCCCCTCTTGGGCCTTGGGCTTTTTTCGCTTCGCCCAGCTCCTTCGAGCAGAGATCTATGCCTTGGAGGGGAATCTGTTCACTTTGGCGCAATGGCGACGGGGCGAGAGACGGAGCCCCAGCGGCATCAGATCGATTTACTAAACAAACTGAAACGTGGGTGGGGATGTTAAACAGTAACCAGGAGCCTCGAGGGAAACTGAAAGCGGCCGCCGCAGGGCTACCTTTCCTCGTCGCACGGCAGGGCCCGGTTTGCCCGTCCCCTGCAGCTTTCTGGCTTGACCGCTAGAGCTCGGCGCCCGAACGCGCGTTAAGAAAAAAGGAGGCGAGCGTGCCTCTGAGCGCATGCAGAGTGCAATTCTCCCAACCAGAGAATTAGCCAGGGAATTCAAAGGTTAGGGGTTTCGAGTGCCAGGCAGCCTTTACGTCTTGTCTCCTAAACCCGATCTCCTGTGTGTTTTTTGGAAAGCGAACCCCGTTTCGTTCGAGGGGATCTACTCCCGGGTTTGAATGCGAAGGATTGCCATAAATAAAGGCGGGGAGGGAAGTGCAACTGATAGCGATCTCCTGTCACCTACAGGATCCCGCGCATGCTTCCTCAGCATGAGGTTTCCTGGAGTTCACCAAGGTTTTAGTACTAGCGAGGCAACTGAGGACCGCTTGCGATCAATATTGCTTACTCTCAAGTAAGGGCAGGGTGGCAGTTTTCAGACTCTGCGCGCGATCCTGTCCAGAATATGAATGCAGCAGAACTTACATGGATTTCCTGCGATTCGTATTCTTTAGTGGGCCGTGTAGTTCGCTGACGAAAAGCAGCTCATTTCGCCTCCACCTGAAGCTGGCGAGCATCCAAGACTGCAATCCTAACCCCACATGCTTGGAGGAAAGTCCCATTGAAGTCAATAGGACTTGCGTCGAGTTGATACATGTGGTTAGAGTTGTACTGTAAAATCTGTTTGGGGCTGCGGTTTAGTGAATGGCTCGGTAAGGAGAAAGTTACATTAAACTCAGTAAGGCTGCAATTCTGTACTTGCTTACTGGGAGTAAGTCCCAGTGACTTCAGAGGGGCTGCTGAGTAGACATGTCTAGGATTGCACTGCGCTGCATTTCTTGTTTTGACCTTCACATACCCTGTGAGGGCTGTATTAAAAGGAAACGCGAACCTTTCCCCTCGAGAAATAAGTTTAAGCACGGATTTTAAATTGTCCATAGGCGCCGACTCCTGGGCTTCGAGGGGGCCGACCCCCTCAAAAATTCGTTGGGGGGGCTCAGCCCCCCATAATCTCCGGCCCTCCAGCAGAGTCGCCATCGCGCCCTCCCCACCCAAAAGCACAGGGTCGGGCTGCAACGCCTCCATTGCCCTCGCTCCGAGAAAAGCTCCACCCAATTTTCCGCTCCGGAGCTGATTAATAGGCGCAGCACGCTCTCTCCTATTCGCTCCGTAAGGAGGCGGTGCCACTTTAATTTGCATTTCATAGAAGCTATGTTATTATTCATTGCAGCTTTCCCGGGCCCCCCCCATATTTTTATAAGTCCGCGTCCCTGACATGTCTTCAAATGAGTAGGACCTAACCGTGTTCCGCCTAGGCTGAATTGGTTGTGATTCAAACGAACCTCTCCACCCCCACCTAAAAGTCTACTGCCTTTTCAAGAATTCTGTCTCACTCCAAAGCTAATACACGCTCACGTCCATTTTGATAGGCTGCCTCCGTAGAATAAACGGAGGCAAATAATTCACAAGAGTAACTTTCAGTGAAAGGAGCATTTCATTTTCCCCGGGTATTCTGCAAACGGCTTGGAAGTGTCGCGGTGGAATCATTTCCACATTTGATAGTGTCCAGTGGCGTAGCGTGGGTTGTCAGCACCCGGGGCAAGGCAAGTAATTTGCGCCCCCTAACCCGTGGATTTGCGCCCCCTAACCCGTAGATTTGCGCCCCCTAACCTGTGGATTTGCCCTAACCCCAGATGTTGCGCTCGGTGCGGCCGACTCCCCTGCACCCCCCACGCTACGCCACTGATAGTGTCAGACTTGGCCTCAATAGAGACGATGTCCGAGGAAGCACAGTTGGCAGCATCAATCTTGCTCTCCTCATTCATCATTGCTTGGGAGTGGCTTCTACTCATTCTGCCTGGCCTCCTCGGAAGTCAGTGCCAATTAATTCAATGGCGCTCACTCCCAGCTGAGTGCGCATAGGATTGCAGCCTGACTGACCTTGTTCTCTCTCTCTCTCTCTCTCTCTCTCTCTCTCTCTCTCTCTCTCTCTCTCTCTCTGGATATTGTTCTCTCTTGTGCTTTTCCTAACCATCTCTTGCATTTATAGGCCTTCGGGTCTGACTCTGACCCAACAATTGCCCCGTCCTCTCCTGCCTATACTGTACTGGCTTCCCTGCTAGATAAAACTCGCCCTCCATTGAGAAGCTCCGCTTCGCCCAGGAACATAGGAAGCTTTCTAATTCCGCGTCTGACCGTTGGTTTATTTAACTCAGTACCGTCCACATTGAGTGGCAGCTGCTCTCCAGGGTTTCAGAAAGGGGTCAACCCCACCTCTACCTGGAGATGAGAGGATTGGAACCCGGGACCTTCTGCGTGCGGTGCTTAGGCACTGAGCTACAGCCGCAAAGGATGCATTAACCCCGGGTGCGCCACACATAATTTGAGGGTTGCAGCCATTGCCTTTTATCAAAGACCAAATGCCCCCCCCCCCGATTAAAATATTAATTGCGCGCTTCTGTGACAGCCTTAGCGGTGAAACGATCTGAATGTTCAGCTAAGTATTCTTGGAAGAGGAGGACTTTTGAGGTAGGAATGGAAGCTAAACATGATCCCTGTCTCAGCAAGGCAATGGATGTAAAAGAAGCAGGCGAAGCAGAGCTGGCTGCGCCTAAACCGACTGAAATCAGCGAGATTCTGCGCGCCTAACTCTGCATAGGATCGGGCGGTGGATCTCTCAAGCGGGAGGCTTATTGCAATTTCCTGTTCGGGCAGAGAGTAGCCAGATTGCCATGGGGAGGAGAGAACCGCGCAGATCTAGAGGCCTATTATATGCATACTCTTTCAGATTGCCGTTTGCTGTCCCCCCCCCAAAAAAAAATAACATGGGAGGAAGGACACACATACACACAGGGGAGGAGGCAAAGGGGGGAAGAACCGCATGTGTGTACGTGTGCACTTGCCCCCCCCCCCCGCGTTCTCTTGGACCAGCTTGTTTAGGCGCAGGGCAATAGGCAGGCTTTCCGGTCTTACAGAACTCCTCAGCTTTTTCTGCACTTGAAATCTGGAAAGTGCTGTGTAGGTTTGAGGAGCTCAACCTCCTCAAATAAAGCCTGCCTTCGTCGTTTCTTTCGTGTGTGTCAAATACCTGCAGGAGGAGCCTTACCTACGGGATGGTGGCTGGAATTAAACCAGAACCACAGCAGTAAACAGCTATTTGATCTGCTGTGGTTGCGTCTTGATTCTCTTTTTAAAAAGATAATCGTGGCTGGCATTCAACAACAATTAAACCTGAAACAGGCTTTTCTACTTTAGGAAGATGGACAAAAGCAGAGGGCTGCTCGACTCTTTTCACTGCTTAAATCCTTGATCCAGAACTTTGCCGCCGCATTCAGCTGCGTGTGAAACGAGAGGCTGCAAAAGGGAGGAGATATTTGGATGCCACCACAAGGAAGCGCCTTCTTTTCAGCCGGATCCGCAGCCCCTTCCCTTTACGCCCCTGTTAAAGTCCCACTGGGACTCGGGTTGCCATTCTATTCCGGAGGAAGTATCCTTGATCGCGGGGGGGGGGGGGCGCGGAGTCTTAATCCAGTGTAAACGCACAGAGGACAGGACAGCAAAGCAAATTCTAGGCTAGGCTGTGCGACAATATTGGCAGAGATCCTAAACACATGGTCATGTTCTGAGGAAGAAAAAGGAAGCCCCATTAATCCTCGCAAATGATGTCCGGGTTTCGTTCAGACACTTGGCAATTAACGCGTGACAAACTTGAAAATCCGGCGAATGGTTCGTTTTAAAGAAATGCTGTTTGGGATGGGACGCTGGTAAATTTAGTTTAAGAGAGAAATACTCTTTTTCAAGCGTTTCCTTTTACCCAGAAAGCCGGATCCCGCCAAGAGGGGGAGGATGGGAGGCTTTCGTTACTCAGCGGGGCGGAAAAGGCACTCTGCATATGCCCAGAGACATTACTTACTGCTCTGCCATCCCAAGCCTAAAACGTATCACGTGAAACTAGAGGAAGCGATCCCAACCTTGTACTAATACGAATGGGACTTCGGTGGCAGGGTGGTCTATTTTAGGATTTCGGCGCCAATAGATTTCCTTGGGAGAAATAGGACTTTTGCTGGCGGTGGGATAGGTTTCTATACTCGGGTTTGGTTCTGCTGACTGTACAGAACCGTATGGTTTTAAATAAAGCCATGAACCCCTGAACAGAATTGAGTCCGGGGGTCCAGGCTGCGAATGTATCCCCTCCTTCGTGAAATTAAACTGAGTTCCTGGAGAGAAGAAAAGTGAACGATCTGGAAGTATAAACTCAACAGGTGAAGCTTGCCTCGCCACTGCCTTCCTGACAGCTGCATCTTTACTTGTTTATTTACATTACAGTGCAGATCTTAATTTAAGGCTTCGCTGCCGGGATATGCTGGAAGGAGCGAGCACCGGGTGCTGATAGCAGCGGCCAACGTATTTATAGTTCTTTCTGCAACTCGGTTAAATTCTAACTAGAATGCAGCTGGTTGAGTTTCCATATGTTTCTAAGCGAGGTTTACGTGGTAGAATGGTCATTTAATGGTTGGGGATGGGGGGGGGGGCTTCAAGGAGGCCGAATGAGATCCCGATCCTAAGACTGTCAATCCATCTCCCCGGGGGACTGTTTCATTGGTCTGCAAATCACGAACCACAGCGTCTCAAACTGCGCGCCGGCGCGCCAACGCAGCCAGATCCTATGGAACTGGAGCTCTCGAACCTATGTACAGCTGGCCTTATGTGCAGCTTGTATTAAAACCCCACCGAGGCTTGGTGGTAAGCAAACATGCCTAGGATCGGG